ATAGATAGATAGATAGATAGATAGATAGATAGATAGATAGATAGATAGATAGAAACAAAAAGTATTTTACCTTTAACCTGGATGAGCATGAGGTTCTTGTATGGCACCGCACTGTTGTTAGACGTCTGCTCCGAGATGTTGACATTGCGTAGACTCACACTGCTGAAGTTTTCTTTACTGGCAAGACCTGCCAGAGCCGCCTCAGAGTACTCTGAGCTTTTATTTGCTGGAGGAGTGAAAAAGACCATGCTTCATAAGATAAAGACATGTAAATGGGTTTTAGAATTAAAGAAAGCTACCATCAGTAAAAAACTGGAACAAAAGTGGGTTAAAGGATGATTTTAAAATCCACTTAGGTGTTAAAAATAGTTAGAGAAAGCTCTATATTTGTAAGGTTTGTAAACTATCATAACACCTCCCACTTCACTCTGAGGTTTTTGACTCCAAGCAGTGAAGACTGAGTCATTGCTAACACTTCTCTTTTTAGACTCACAGATACACCATAGGATGCTGCAGTAGTTCACTCACTCTTCTCAGCCTTCATCCTCTTGCTCTCCAAATGGGCCACATTCAGCCTCTCCTCTGTGTATTCGTGTCGAATGTCCTCTCTAGCTGCCAGCATTTTCAAAGGGTTTTTGGATGCCTGAACATTCCTGGATGGTCGAACAGATCGCTTATGCTGCACCATGGCTGAGGCCAGTCTGTGTAGGAGGAAAACAGGCACATAAATATGATGGAAAAGACAAAATGGGAATTTAAATCCTGGATGTTATTTTAGTAAAGGTGTTTCCAAACAGCCCACTATAGTAGAATGATGCATTTTCATACGTTGGACCGTGAGAACCGAAGATGCTGTCAAAGTCTTCGCTGATCTCGATCCTGGTGGGCATGCGTGGGAATTCAGCCACACGTTTGTAGAACTTGGAGAAAATCTCGTCGTCCAGCTTCATCACCTCCTTCACCGCCTTCTCCGTCACTGTTATGGTGGTTTCCTGCAAACCTGCCACTAAACAAATGACATAACAAAAGAGACAATATCAGACAATTTATCTAAGATGTCTTCAATAAAATATTTTTAAGAGTTACAACACAACCCCAATATTGGATAGTAAATAAAAGTGGCTCATTTTTAAAACATAAATACTTTGAGCTTGAGGTCAGCCGCTTACCTTTGCTATTAATTCGTCCCAAAAAGTTCTCCAGCTTGTCCAGCTTCTTATCAGACTCCATTTCTGGCCTTGCTTCAATTTCTGCAAATTAAACATATGATTTTAACATGACAGAAACTCCAATAGAACTGGGTTGATGGTGTTTTAGCATAGCAATATCTAAAACACATGTTAAGTTTTTTTTTCTGCTAAGTAAAACAACTCCTGAGCGTGACTAAAGATCTTCAGATGTACTCAACTTTACACAGACACAGCCAAACTCACAATGTTAAAAAATTAATATATGTGTCAGGAAATACTATGCCAGGTGGCCCTAATGGATCACATTTAACTGTAATTATTGATTTAGAGCCTAAATAGATTTAGTCTGTAGGGTATATTGACATCTTGTTTTATACAGCGAAATGACATTTCACTTTTTTAGTATCAATAAAATAAAAAAAATCCTGCTTACAACTAAAAAAAAAACAACAAAAAATGAATATCATCACGTATAGTTTTGCTATAAACCAATAAAACTTTGTGCATGACTTGAAATCTATGTGCATTAAACATGTATGGGAAAACATTCTACTCTTGGAATATTTTGTACTTGTAAAGCAGAAAATGAGGTTGTGCATAAAGTTTTTCCACTCTGTAAACCAAAATCTTTGTGGATTATTACATAAGAATTTGTACTTATGTAAAATAAATTATTTGTTTTTGTGATGCAAAAATCAAGGTG